CAATGTCTAATGAAAGTAGGAAAACTTTCTTAGATTAAGGTCCTTGAAAATTTTGTTGAGGTCCTTGAAAAGTCCTGGAAATTCCTTGAATTTCAATCTCATCATCGAGTGGGAACACTGCCATATCTTCATAAATATTTAAGCTAGGCTTACAAAATTTTACGCAATTATTGCAAATAATCAAAATAATTGTTACAAATCTATTGCTAAATTTTATGACCTGAGGTGTGCAAAAACACCATTTTTGTTTGTAATATATTGTTGGTCTTTCAAACTTCTTAGAGCTTTAAATTTCATTGTATGAGAAATCGCATTATTTAAATACTTCTGAAGTTTTAAAATATTTCTTTAAGTATTTCCTGAGAAATATGAAAAAATGTATTTGTGTAGACGTGTTTCCGTTATTAATGTCTACCCCTGTGTATATATCCTTACCTTAATGCTCTTTCCTTTATTTATTTTTTAATTTTTATTTTATTTATTTTTATGTTTTGTAAATTTTTAAATATTTTTTAAAAATGTTTTATTTTTAATGATTTTTTCTTTTTTTTTAAAAAAAAATATACTTATATCTTTTTTCCTTGTTTTCTCTGTATTTTATACATATACGAATATATATATATGAATGCATATGTATACCAGATATGCATGTATGTATACACACATACATGCATATCTGGTAGCCGAAGTTCTCCAGCATGGCAACCGACATTGCAAATTTTTCTTTTTTAAAAAGCAGACAAACAGAAGGTGGGGTTGGTATTGCTGTGATTCTTTTTCAATCATCAAAATATCTCTAAACTTGTTTCTAATAAAAATTAAAAAGCTGCATTGAAAGAACTCTGCACGGAACAAAAAGTAGAAAATTTTTTTCTGTTCTTGATTGCAGACATAATAATAATTTTTTTAGCTTCATTGTATAAAATTCAACATGAATTTAAACAACATGAACTGTTTATGTATAATTTTTTAGGTAAATCTTGCTACTTGTATGTCAAATCAAGCCAAATTTTTAAATTAATAGTCTCTCTGATTGGGGTGAGGTTGCAAAAAAATTTTTATTTATGAAGATACTGCAGCATGTTCTCTCTGCATATTTTGCTATTGCATATTGCTATTGCATAGTTTCAATTTTTGACATTCTTATAAATTTCTCAATAAAAACTTAGAGGTTAATTTTGTAACTTTAGAGGTATTTTAAGTCATGCAATTTGTCATATTTATCAAATAAAGTTTAAAGCTTTCAGAGGTTTGTAGACCAGTAATGAGAGGACCAGTAATGAATTAGGAACACAAATAAGTATTTTTAAACATCCTATGCCAGAAAGTATAGCAATCGGCTTGTAACTTGTATCGATTACTTTGGTTGCTATGTGCAACAATTGCATAAAATTTTGTAAACTTAGCTTATTTGTAAACTTATATTTATGGAGATATAGACATTTTTTTTATAAAAACTCATCTTTTTTTTCTATAACTTTAAATATACGTATTAAAATTAAGCAAGATTTTTGAAAACATTTTTAGTTTGTCAGAAAACTATTATTTTAAAATTTGAAAAAAGAAAAAAAAAACTCATAAAAAATTGTGTGAGGTATAGCATTTAAAGTAGGTCTTTAATGCTGCATCTGTGCACCAAGGAAAATCAAAAAATTTTTTTTTTTTATCATTAATGAATCGTAGTTTGTAAATAATGAGAAAAGCCTGATGAATATTTTCAAAATTTGAAAAGATTTTAGCAATTTATTTAGTAACTTTTGTACTTTTTACAAAGAAGCTCTAAATAATGAGGAGTTTTCTGCAAATTTCATTTTGAATCATAAGACAAAATTTAATTACAAATGATAATCAGGGATTTGTCTAGGTTTTTTATGAGGTGCCTGTTTTTTGAAAATTAAGACATAATTTGAGAAAATTAAAAATTATATTAAAAAATGAACACAAAAATATGGTAAAATAAGGAAATATTTTTTAAAAGTATTTTGTGAAGCTACCGATTTTCCTTCAGTTGAATATTGGAAGGTACTGCTAAGCGGTAGTAAATTTGCCCTGGAGGGACCCCTGATAATGCTTAGCAATTATCGTTACTATACCAAAATATGATGGTATAGGAAGAAGAAATGTGTGAAAGAAGACATACTCTAATAAGGGAATATCTGCTACAATGTCACTTTTAATGAATCTTGTTTTGTAGTATAAAATAAATTTTGTAGAAGACCCCTTATTGTTCAGAGATTTCTTTAAAAAAGTACAAAAACTACTTAGAAAATTGCTGGAAGCTTTTAAAATCTTCAAGATATTCAAAATGCACTTTTTACGTTAGTTACTAAATACAATTAATTCACTGCGAAATAATGAAAAAAATTTTTTTAGTTTTTTCTACGCATGCAGAGTATGAAAGAACTACCATAAATGCTCATATCTTGCACAATTTTTTTGAATTTTTTCAAGTTTTAAAATGATAATTTTGTTATTAATTTAAAATTGCTCGAAAAATTTTATTTAATTTTATGTTATAGCAAAAAAAGTTAGGAAAGAAAATTACTATTTTTTATTTTATGAAATTGTGCATATCTGCATAAATATTTCCACAAATGAATATCTCCAAAAGTAAAAGAATCCTTTTTGTATTTTTTGAGAAATTAAAAAAAAAAGTGTCTAAAGCTGAAAGTGTCTTTTCCATTATTGTTGAGTAATGTGTGTGTATATATATTATATATATTTCTCCCTTTTTTTTTTTTAAACATAATGAACTTTTCTAGTTGATATTATATAAAAACTTATAATGTTTGTCATCTGTTCACATTATTATTTTTCTCCCATATTATGTTTTTTTTTAATGACTTCTGAGAGTGTAAAAACTGGTTCAAACTTTCTTGTTTAAGAGTGATTCGACTCACTATGAGTAAGATTTAATGTGAGAATTAAAAGTATTTATCAATCTTCTAGAGCAATTATTAAACATTTTTACATAGTTACTGGCAGTAATTGTGTCAAATGTCAATATTTATTTATGAAAAATAAAAAAATCTGAAGTAAAATTGTGAAAGGAATTTAGTTTGATATAGTAAATTATTATCTGAAAGCAATACAATTATTGAATGTTTTTTGGTCCTCTTTATATTTTGTAAAGTTTTCCGCAATTTTTTAAAATCTTTTTTTTTACCTTGTTTTCCTTTTTGACAAAGGTATCTGCCAAAGTCTTGGATTTTATTTGATGAATCAAGCCTCCTTTAACTATCATTATGTAAAATCAAAGACATTAAAATGCAAAGTAAATGCAAACTATGAGTAGATTAGCTTTTAGTATGTTAATATAAAAACTCTAAGAATACAACTTTATTTCAATATATGTTAATTTTGTAGTAGAAATAAAATTGGATAGTGTTACTTTTACAGTTAATTATGTTTGACTATTCTCATTTACAATAAAATATTGTAAAATTATTTTAATTTCTTAAGAAAATCAGTTTTCACTGATTTAGAAAGATAAATTAAATAGCTTGAAAATCAATACTATTGGTTTATATTGTAATTACAAACTGCTTCAAAAAACTGTTTTAATATTTGATATTTCTTTTTGAAGAAGAATCACTTTCATTTCTTCTATTTGGGTTGGCCCTATTTTTTTCAGGGCAATTTTTTTCTGTTGTGGCGGAAACTAGGCCATCTTTGGTACATATCCTGAAAAATTTCTCATTTATATCCTGTTTTATATTTTTTATTTTTATATATTTTTTTATTTAATAGTAGTAATAAAATTTGATTGTGTTACTTTAACAGTTAATTATGTTTGACTATTCTCATTTTCAATAAAATATTGTAAAATTAGTTATTTTAATTTCTTAAGAAAGTCAGTTTTCGCTGATTTAGAAAGATAAATTAAATAGCTTGAAAATCAATACTATTGATTTATATTGTAATTACAAAACTGTTTAAAAAAACTGTTTTAATGTTTGATATTTCTTTTTGAAAAAGAGTTTCTTTCATTTCTTGGGTAGTTAGTAGTAGTTTCAAAAATAGGGTTGGACCTATTTTTTTCAGGGCAGTTTTTCCATAGTGGCGAAACTAGGCTTACATATCCTTAAAAATTTCTCATTTATATCCTGTTTTATGTTTTTTGGAGTTAAATTTGTACTAAACTTGTAATTTTACACCTAGGACCTGTACGTAATCAACCTTACATGTCTACTTCGAATAATGGAGTACCTATGCAAAGTGCTGTTCCTTATCCACCCCCAATGTCATCCTACCCACCTCCACTGTCATACCCACCCCCACCGCCCTATTCTGGACCACCTCCTAGTTATGACGTAGCTGTCAATCCACTAGCTTCTGCCCCTTTCCCAACTCAAACTCAAGCATTTCCAGCTAGGCAAGGATGATGAGGATGTTGAAGCTTTATGAATTTTATCTGTATATCTGGTCTTTTTACAAGTTTTTCAATTTTAATCAATGTTTCCAAATATACATATGATGTGTTTTGAATGTTATATTTAATAAATGTGCTTATGAATCTCATACTGGCTTGTAATTTTTTTCTTTCCGATCTATGTGATAGGTGTCTTAGAAATTTGCCACAGGAAAAAAAACATAAATTATTTTCAAAACAACCACCATCTACAGCAACTATGTGGTATAGTCTGGAAAAAAAGTGAACTGGGGCCTGTTCAAATATTTAATTTCAAATTTTCCAATATGTAACAGAAAATATTGTTTTGTAGTTTTTCCAATCATAGGCTGTTACTGAATTTTAAAACCAATTTTAGAAATGGGTGATAGTAAATTATCCAATTTCTTAAACAGCAAACTATGTATTTTTTTCTTTAACTTCTTTTTTTAGTTGACTTTCCAAGTCATTTGCAATTTTGGGAACAAATAATATTTGCTCTAGATTTACTTTTTTTTAAGTAATCAGAGGTTCTTCAATCCTTATCAAACTCTCCATATTTACTGTGTTCATTATATTTGCCTCTTTTTTTTTTAAATCTCACACTTTGTTTAGTTTGACACAGTGTCTGCCCTTCTGGATCAAAATGCTACAGTCAACCAATCTATGTATTTGTTAAAACGAAACTTTAAACTGTTGCATATAAATGTTAACTATTAGTAATCAAAGTCTAAAAATGATCTTGCTTTTTTTAAAAAATAACGTGATAGAAATAATATTTAAGTTTGTAGTTCCTTTTTTTTATTTAACAGAATTTTTGTAAAAGAAATAGGTTTACTTTTTTAAATGACATAAAATGTATGAAATGGTGTATTAAGCTTTCAGCAAAGGAAAGAGTTATACTTTATATAATAACAAGATAAAGCAATAAGCAACATGATTAAAGCATAAATGAAATTACTTAAATTAGTATAATCAAATTATTTATTGCAAATCAATTTATATACTTTCATTTGTGCTTTATTCACATATTTTTTTGCTTTAGTCTTTATAATTTCTCATGCAAACCTACTTTTGACACCTAAGTCAATTGCAATATTTTATTTTGCTCTCTTGAATTTTTTTCTTTCTTTTATAATTAATTATGTGCTGTGATGTGAAGCTGTGTATATTTCAATCATATTAGTAGTATTGAAATTGAAACGTCATAAGTTAAGGGTGCTCAACCTTTTTTAAAGAGAACCATTGAAAAAAAAAAAAGATTTCAAGGACTGCATTTCAATTGATGTTGACTTTTTCTTTATTGTTGTAAGAACAATATAAATTTGTCTTAAAAACTAAAAGACTACATATTTTCAAACTGTATCTGTATTATTTTTGAAGTAAAAACCATTTGAATTTTTTAACTTTATCTTCTTGGGAAAACATTCTTTCAACTTTCTCTGTGGAAAAACAAACTACTTTTTTTAATTATTTTTACTGAATATAAATTACATGCATCATTAATTTTTAATTGAATGTTTGAACTTCCTTTCTTTCAAACACATTAGTTTTGTTTAAAAAAAAAATTCTTTTTGTTATAAGAAAAGTCGAAATGCTCTCAGATCTTTTGGCACATTTACCTAGTACCTCTAGATTTTGGAAATTTAATTATACGATTTGAGTGTTTTTTAAGGTTATTGAAATTAGTCAGAATAATAACTATATATATTTTTTCTAGTAAGGTTATTCTAATCAATTTTTGGTTGCAGGTCTCAGTTGAACCTCTAAGACTTTGATTGTGCACACCTATGATAAGTTAACGCACAATTGCATCCCAGGTTAAATTAATAGAAGAGTGTTTTGCGCACTATAAGCAGTTGGTTTTCATAATTAAAAACACTTTTTGTACCACTGAACTTTCAATAAACTGATCAATTTCTCTTCATCAGTAAAATCCCTATACAGGGTTATTCATAATTCCTTCCGGGGTTTCGAAGAGTTATAGTAAAAAAAAGAAGACGAATATGAAAAAAATAAACATATGAAATTATTCCGAAACTATTCAAGTTTTACTTACATACATTACAGGTGCTCTATGTGTGAACCCCTGGTCACACGGCGTCGATCAATGAGATAGTCCACTTCCTGCCCGGAGGAAATTATGAATAACCCTGTATATTAAAGAGTATGATTGAAAATCTTACATGAGTTAAAAATTCGTCACCATTTGTCATTGTTCGGTACGTTTGTGACATCCTTCAGCTACTTGTGTTGCACAAGTTATTTTTCAATAAGACAATGCTCGGTCACACACAGCAAGGTTACCACCCTTCCCTAGCCTGCTCGATCCCCAGATTTGTCTCTGAACTGGCTTTTCTGGGATTACTCTTTAGACAGCCTCCGAGTTTGGTCAACACCTCCTAGAAGAACGAAGGCCTCAGCACGGATCAATTTAGTAGTCCGACGTGACGAACATAAACTGCGCAGTCGATGAAAAAGAAGAAAGATGTCACTACGTTTGGGCTACTAAGTTGCGCAGTGGTGGAAAATACGAAAGATGTCATTACGTTTGGACTACTAAAGGATCAAATTTCTTGTTTATGGTAACCCGTGCTAAGGCCTTCTCTTTCTAGGAGGTATTGGTTTGGTCGATTTAGCGGTGATTTTACAGCAACTGTATAACGAGATGCCGCAGGACATCATAATTCAGGACTTATATGACTCAATTACCGATCGTATCGCAATCTGCTTTCGGGCTAGATGTGATCCTAGATGGTATGCTAAAATTTCCATTTATATGTATTTTTTCCTGAAATAAATGATCAGTTTGCAATATTTTTTTTAAAAATCATTTACTATACCGAGGTTGTACTTGTGTATGTAAAATTTTGTTCCATTCTGACATCTCTTTCTACCTGCGCTGATTTTTATGGCAATAATTGTATAAGTATTTTAAATTTTCTTCTCGGGGAGTTATTTTAGGAAAACATTTATCTCCTTTAACGGAGCCTTAACAAAATATTTTATCTTACAAACGAACTCTTCCACATATTTTTCAATTTAAAAATGGCTTTCAAAAAATTCTTTTGGGTAACGAGGTTGAAGACATTTTTTAATTTATATTTTTTAAAACTATCACCTTTTGAAAGACATTGCTCTTGTGTTTAAGATTCAGAAAATTGAGTAGATCTTTCACAGAGTCAGAAAAGACCACTTTTTGGTGACGAGTCATAAAACAGGATCATAGTTTCACAAAATACTGAGTAGATTTTTCACAAAACCACCCCAGGCTAAAATTCTGAACCCACCCTCATAAAAAATCTGGAAAAACCCTTGGTTCTGCATCACAATTTGAAGTGGGTCAAATGTGCAATAACTCTGCCTTAATTATTTAGATTTTTAGAATTTATTTATTAAATAGAATGGTAAATATGAAACTCTATACTAAAGATTTCGATTATAGGTTAGATTCTAACAATTTCATAATAAAATTTAGCATTTTAGTGTACAACAATTAGTTTCTTATTACTTTAAATATGTAGTTTAATTAATAATTTGAAGTTTTTAAATTTAATATATATTCATAAATATTTCAGAGGAAATTGTAGGTATCATTTTTATATAGGAGGGGGAAGGTGATTTGACTCGGGAGCTTAAAAGCTTAAAAACATTTGCCTACAGCATTTCTTTTTTTATCAGTCTCACATTTAGCCATTTAATTCTTAACCAGGGCTCGAAAAATCACCCGTCCGCCCGTCCTCGGCGGTCAAAAATTCCTCGCGGACANAAAAATTGGTTGAATGTTTCGATTAAACTTCATTTTAATACTAAAAAAATAATTTTTTCTATACATGCGGCATTAAAGTATGTAGTCTTAAGATTAATTTGCACAAAGAAAGAAGTTTATATGTGAAAAATTGTTCGAGTAATTACAAATTTACAAAAAAATTGGATTTTGGGTATCACCGCCCAATTTTATTTTGTCGATAAATGTACGGTTGCAAAGATTATTATTTTATTGCTTCAAATTTGAATGTTATGCATTTTTAATAACAAATATTGTTGTTATTAAATGATAGAATTCACTAAAAGTATATAAATACGTAATAAATAAAATTATTTTGTGATAAAAATGATAAATGAGGTTTATCTATTGTCAATACATAGGTCATTTTTATTTACACCTGAAAAAACAGTCAAAAAACATAATTTTTGTAACTGGGCGGGGCTACCCGACGCATTTTGAAAGGAGCTGAAAAACATGTTTTTTTAAATTTCTATATTTTTAAGTTAAACTATTATTTTTTTGGTTTATTCTTTTTGCACTATTTAATTCGATGATAAAACAATAGAAACATACAAAAATATTGATTATTACTCAATATTATACAGAAATATAAGCAATACTCCTTAAGTGGGCGGGGCTACCCAACTCTCCTCTATATTTATAAATATTTCAGAGGAAATGGTAGGTATTATTTTTATATAGGAGGGGGAAGATGATTTACCTCTGGAATTTTTTAAAACTTAGTTCCTAGCTTAAAAACATTTGCCGACAGTATTTCTTTTTTTATCAGTCTCACATTTAGACATTTAATTCTTAACAGGACGCCATACCGCGGAAGAAAATTTTCGTTGCAAATTCTCTTTCTCCTTCATTATTAATTTAAAGTGTAGAAAAAGTGACTTTAGACAAACCAAGTCATGAAGTTTCAAATACTGAAATAGAAAATTTTAAAATATACAAATGAAAATAAATTATGAGATGATAATTTAGGATTCGCAACGGAGAAGTTCTCTTCTAAGAATTTGTTTGCATTTTAATATTTTGAGGTATTCTTTTTCAGCAATAGAAACTTCATAACTTACTCTAAGTTTGCCTTAACTTACTTTTTCTTTCTTTTAAATTAGTAATGAAGGAAAACTTGCGAAGAAAGCTTTCTTGATGATTTTGGTATTGTTTTAAAATATTACAAATAAATTCTGTAAGACCTTTTTCTTTTCATGTTTGGTATCAACATTTCAGCAAAATATATTGGTTATTTTTACATTGTCTTACTACTTTAATTCCCATTTTTATTCTTATTTAATTAAGAAGCTTTACTCACCAATACCCGTGATTGCTTTTCATTCATCATTGCTTTTTTTT